AGCAGGTATAAAAGAGAAAGGTATTTGAGGCAAAGGAAATAGCATGTGCCTAATTACACCTCACTTACTTTTCTGTTCTTAGAACTATAGTTTCTACTTACATCATGGACCTCACAATTTCAGTACTTATGGTGTAAAATGATTAATTTTCAAAAAATGTCTTAATGTTTTTATTTATTTTGAGACAGACAGAGACAGAGCATGAGCAGGGGAGGGGCAGAGAGAGAGGGAGACACAGAATCCGAAGCAGGCTCCAGGCTCCGAGGTGTCAGCACAGAGCCCGATGCGGGGCTCGAACTCACGGACCGTGAGATCATGACCTGAGCTGAAGTCGGATGCTTAACTGACTGAGCCACCCAGGCGCCCCTAAAATTATAAGCACATTAGCCATCTCAACAAACTTCTTGACAAGCCAGTTCATAAACTCTGTTTGTATTCTCCTTAAACCTTAGCAAAGCGCTGATCATTGGGCACATAGTTAGGATGACAGAGATGTTGACAGATTAATCCAATAATCTGTCAGTGTTTGTGTACTCATTTGTTCGTGCCTGTGTCCCAACAGAACTTTATTTAGGACACTAAAATTTGGATTTCATAAAATTTTCACAAGTAATGAATTATTGTTCTTCTTTTAATATTTCAAAGACTTAATATTTTAGAGCAGTTTTAGGTACACAGCAAAATCGAGGGGAAAGTACAGAGAATATTCCACATATTCATTGTCCCCACACATGCATAGCCTCCCCTACAGTCCATTTTCCCCACTGAGTGGTACATTTGTTACAATTGCTAAACCCACAATGACACATCATAATCACTTAAAGTCTGCATTTTACATTAGAGCTCACTCTTGGTGTTGTATCCTCTGTGAGTTTGGGCAAATGTATAGTGACATGTGTCTATTATTATGTCATCATATAGCATATTTTCATTGCCCTAAAAATCCCCTGTGTTCTGCCTGTCCAGTCCTCCTCCCTCCAACACACACACACACACACACACACACACACACACCCCTTAGTTTTTATGTATAAGGGAAGGAAACTAATGCTTACTGACCACTGACTGCATGCTAGGTTCTGTGTTAAAAGATTTACACATGTTCCTTCTTGTAGAGAGATTAACCAGGCAGTGGGCTATTTTGGAGGATGAAGGACTTAGGAAAAGGGAGACTAATATAGACTTCAGTGTAGCAAACCCAGAATGATCGAAGAAGATGCCTCTCTAATGGCATTTAATCAGTCACTATGTACCAAGGGGAATGGAAAGAGAAGACACATTTCGCTCCTGAAGCCCCTCTTTTCATAAGCTCCCATGAAAAGGATGGGAGCTTCCCATCCCACCTGGTAGCAGTGATGTCTATGATTTGCTACTGACTGTAGTAAGCTGGAATTCTTCAGGGACTTCACCTTAAAAGGGGGAGTGTGTGACAAGGAAGAAAGCATGAGCTTCAGAGTCCAGTGAAACCCTGGTTTTCCATGTTACTAGCTGTGTCACATTAAGGAAATTTCTTAAACCCTTGAAGCCTTAATTTCCTTGTCTGTAAAATGGATTCAATAGGAACTACCTCATAAAATTGTATATTAGTTGCATAATATCTAGCATACAGAAATGCTCTGTAAGCCTTCCTCTCCTGCCATCCCTCCCTTCCTATGTACAATCTATTGGAACTGAAGAGTTTGAAAGTACCAGACATGACCAATAAAGCAAAAGTGCTTTTCCTTGGCAACATTCTTTATTACAGACATTTTGCTCCCTCAAATGTCGACTCTTGCTGATGTCATGGTGTTAGCTGGTCGACATATTCTTGGAAGGCTAACCTTGTTTATGGATGCTTCAGTTTGCCAACAAATCCACATAGAGAAATTGTCACACATTTCCTAGAATTCAGAACTCCCTGTTTCTATTTTTTTTTTAATTTTTTTTTTCAACGTTTATTTATTTTGGGGACAGAGAGAGACAGAGCATGAACGGGGGAGGGGCAGAGAGAGAGGGAGACACAGAATCGGAAACAGGCTCCAGGCTCCGAGCCATCAGCCCAGAGCCCGACGCGGGGCTCGAACTCATGGACCGCGAGATCGTGACCTGGCTGAAGTCGGACGCTTAACCGACTGCGCCACCCAGGCGCCCCCCTTGTTTCTATTTTTTTGCGTAAGTCACTAGACTACTTTTTCTTCGGTGCAGAAAATGAAGCATTTTGTACAGACGGAAATTAACTATTCTCTTTCTCAGTTTCAGCAAGAAGGACATTTATTCTACGTTCAACAAAGTCATATTCAGTTTTCCAAACTGAGAAATATTTAAGGGATTTCATTATATTTGGGGAAATTTTCATCAATCAGAGATTTAACAGCTACCAAAAAAGACCTCCACAATTAATCTTTTATAACATGAGTGTGACTTGTAATCTCCACGCTAAGAAAAAAAAATAACTAAATATAGGGGAAACCCTTCATAAACTATAATATTTCTTGGCAAAGAAAAACTGCTTTATGATTTTAAAGACATCTTTGAGAATTTAAATGAAATGTACATGTTTGAAATTAGTGCCAGATGCAGCCCAATTCAAGCCCAATTCACTGGCTGCATCACATCACTATGATTTCGCAAAAGGTATTCAACGATTCTATGTTTCATAGAAATCTCACAAATACAAGTATTTCATTCACAAAATGCATGGTTTGGCAGGTTTCCAGGGCAGGAATTTGCTGGAGGCAAGGTAAATTTATTGATTAAAATAAATCAAATGACTGACATTTCCCCCGGAAAACTGGCAAAACAATGATATTCATAGACTGGAAGTCTTACAACCAGAGCCAGAAGAAAAGTGTGAGCTATTTACATTTATTACAGGAATCCAATAATGTGATAAACAGATGATTGAGAATTCTCAAAGTTTAAATTTTAAAATACATTTTTTTGGGGTAGGACTCTCTGAGTCTTTTTTTTTGTTTTAATGTTTATTTATTTTTGAGAGAGATAGAGAGACAGAGCACGAGTGGGGGAGGGGCAGAGAGAGAGACACACACACACAGAGAATCCAAAGCAGGCTCCAGGCTCTGAGCTGTCAGCACAGAGCCCGACGCGGGGCTTGAACTCACGGACTGCGAGATCACGACCCGAGCCAAAGTTGGATGCTTAACTGACTGAGCCACCCAGGTGCTCCAACTGTCTAAATATTTTCATATGAGGTCTGCTGTTTGTAGGCTTTTGGAATAATTATAGTCCTCCTCTACCCTTTGCACATTTATATGCACTGAATAATGAGGACTCTTTGATGGAATATATATAGAAGCAATCCAGATAGTTCTTGAACAGGTCAACATCACTTGCCGCCTACCCTGTGTCTCAGTTCTTCGCCCTCTGTGCTCTTTCTCCATGCTGGTCACATTTCCACCAACAGCATTGGCTATGAACTGAATGTTTATGTACCTGCAAATTCCTGTGTTAAAACTCTAACCCCCAGGGTGGCTACATTTGGACATGGGGCCCTCAAAGGAATTAAGGTTAAATGAGGTCATAAGGGCGACGCCCTGATCCCCTAGGATTAGTGTCCTTGTAAGAAGACACACCAGATAGCTTTTACCTGCGCACACGTGTTCTTTCTCTCTACAAACACCAAATGAAGAGATACCTTGAGCATGCCGCAAGATGGCCGCTGCCCACAAGCCAAGAGAAGAGGCTTCCAAATGAAATCTGCCTGCCGGCACCTTGATCGTAGACTTCCCAGCCCTTATGAGAAATTCATTTTTGTTGTTTAAGCCCCCCACCACCTCGTGGTATTTTGTTATGGTAGCCTGAGCAGACTAAGACCCACCATTAAGAGGCTCAAACGCAACAGCTACAGCAACGTTTTCATACATATCAGTTCTTTGCCTGACTTGTTAAAGATTTGGATTGAGGGGAAATGCTATTGGGAAGCTGGGCACAATTGACCAGGAGAGTTTCACACAGATCCTGAAATCACTCAGACCTGCTTCCGTTCTAGATTCAGAGGTCAGCATGAGAAAGGACTTTAGGGACCTGAGCTTGTCAATTCAGGTTTTACTATGATTCTGGGGTTACAGAAAACTCCATAAACCTGGCATATCCTTCTGGGACCTGAGGGTGAGGTAATGGGTAGCTAACTAATAAGCTTAAACATCTGTGTATACTAAATCATGATATATTAGAGTGCGATGAAAAATTCTTACACATTTTTAGAATGTTTCAAAGAAAAGCTTTATTGATCATGTTAGCAACAGTGACAACAGGTAGCTAAGACTTAATATTACTGTGGGCCAGGCAATGTGTTATGGACTATGCGTATTTTCTTTTATCATCCTTACGACACTGGAAAATAGGAAAATATTCTTAGTCTTATTACAGAACACTATTTCAAAAAATGGAAGCATTTCTAAAATATCGCGCACTCCCATCACTATCACATTATACTGCTTTATATCCTTCATAGCGCTTTTTTGGGTTTCTTTTTTCTTAGGTTCTACGCTACCCCAAGCCCCTCCCTGGGGCCCGAACCAGTGGCGGTCACGGAAAAGGGGCTCAAGGTTTTAGCCAATGTCACACATCTGGTCAGTGAAGCAGATGGTAAGCACCAGGAGAGCTGGAGTCGGGACTGTTTTCCGCTAAACAAGGCTGGCACGGTGCCTGCTCAATAAATACGTACAGAAGGAAAAAAAAAAAAGGAAGGCAGGGAAGAAAGAGGGAGCGAGGGGTAAAAGGATGAATGAATGGAAACGTTCCCAGGAGAGCCTAGAGAGCACCTCCCTCCTTGGGGAATGAACTCAGTTCAAAGTCTAAGCCGATACTTTCCTCACCCCCAACACCAGTGAGCAGCAGGGAATGGGGAAGAAAAAAAAAAACAAAGCCTTTAAAAACGTTTAGAAGAAAGGGGGGAAACGGTAAGAGAAAAGAAGTAGAAAGAGACGAATCCATTGCTGCAAATAGATTTCAAAACGGAGCTAAGCGCGGCCGGTTGCCATGACGACCCCGAGGCCAGAACGGCCCCAGCCCATTGGCCGAGATGCCGGAGCCAATGAGAAGGCGCGGTGTTGGCGGGGTCATAAGATGGCTGCCGGGCGGCCGGCTCCTGACGGGTGAGTACCGCTGATCGCCGGGCCGCCTCTCCGCCGGCCGGGGCTCCGAAGAGACGGGTCCGGGAGGGCCGGGTGCGGGGAGCGGGCGAGCCAGTATGGGCGGCCTCACAGCCTCACGGCCGAGCCAGCAAAGCCCCCGCCGGGGCCCACGGGAGCGTTGGTGGGGCTGGCCTCTGCTTTGCTCGGAAGGGGCGTCGCAGCGCCTTCCCGAGATTGTTGGTGGCAGAGGGGTTCTCCGTCCCACCCCAAAGTGAGGGGGAGGAGGGAGAGGCTTTCCTTCGGGGAAGCAGGCGCCTGTTTACAACTGCTGTATCCCGGGGAAAGAGCTACTGTTAGTGCCAGTGTCAGCAGGCTAGACGTCCTGCCCCCGATTGTGCGGCGCTTAGTTCTGTGCCCGGGATGGGATTCTTCCCGTTTGGGGATCCGAGCGTGGCCCTGCCGCCGGAGAGCCTGCCGAGCTCGGGGTGGTGCCGCCCTGCAGGAAGAGGTGTACCTTTCTAGAGCCACCCTCTTGCAGTAAGTATTCTCACGGCGGCATCCGACTTAAAAACGAGCCGCCAAATGTTATTGGTGAACTGTCAGTCTTTTCCATGCAGGGTCTTGGGACGTGTTTTCCAGGCCTGGATTAAACAAATACCGCCTCGCATTGAAACATACGCCTACGTACAAAGTCCTGCTAAATAGTTTGGGTAATCGGATTGGGACCTTAAATTGGAAGTCAGGCCTCTGATTCAGTTGAACCTGAATGTTGATGCATACTTAAAAGTGTTGTTAAGTAACTAATTCCAAGTCACAGAAACCGATTATCGTGCAAATTGTTTTAACATTGATGGTGGATGGTGGTTTATGAGTGTTACACAAAAGTCAAGATTAGATTCAGATCAGACAAAATTCAGATTTCTGTGGTTATGTCTAATTGAATATAAAATACGGGAGATAAGACAGCTTCATATAGTGACAGTGGAATTGAAATTCTGGAATATCAGAGACGGGAGACCTTTACCCATTAAACTGCTCAGATTAGGTTTCTGTGACAGGCAATTGCCTGATCTTCCAGAAAATTTGACCTTGTTACCCACACCTCTGACTGTGAGTTTTATGTATACAAGTTAGTATAGCATCTTAGATAACTTTCTGCACTTAAAGAGTGAGAAAAATTTTTTTCTTGATCAAATGATAACAGAATTACAGGCTAAGGTCATTCTTCGTATCCACTCTCAAATCTTTGTCTCCAAGAATATATTACTGCTCAAACTCTGCCCTCTAAAAGCTTTTGAGTTGAAGTCATCCAGTTCTGTTTTTCTAAAACAAACAGATCACAATGCATCAGGCAAGTCAGTTACTTTACCTTAAAAGGGATTTAGATAGTAATTCCTAGTGGAACGGTTGCTGTAGGAATTAACGGGAAAAGAGTTTCTGTCACATTGTTTATATGCATTGACTTGATTTGTTTTTCTTTCTAGTTGTTTCTTGTGTTGTAACTGGAGTCCCTTTTGCTTTCTCCAGAGCATCTTTTAGGTGTTTTGTCTGACATGCAGTCTTACTGAAAACTAGAAATCTTGGCTATGGTGGCTGGGTTGAAGAGAGAAACCTTATCTACTGGGGTATTGGGGTTTACTCAGTGTTGCCTCTGACTCGTATATCACGTCTCTTGAGAATGGCTGAATAGTTTTCACATTGAAAGGGTAATTTGGAATGACTTGCTTTAAAATAAGGCACGGGGTGAGGGACGCTTCAACGAACTAGAGAGTCACTTTTTGGAGCAGCCAAAACAGGGGTAACAGGAGGCCGAACGTAGTACAATTGGAAGCGTGTGAATGACATATAGATGCTACGAATTTAAAGACTGTTTTCAAACGTGAACCCAAAGCAAGTCGCGAAGCAGCCCCTCCATATTGGCTGATTTACACTTCGGCTGCTGCTCACGTGGACAGCTCAACCTTGCAGGCTCCTCAGTGACTTATCTGTGCTTGTCGGTGGTCGTCGAGTTGCCTTTGTCTGTCCCTCTGTCTATTTTTTTTTTTTTAAGGTTTTAAACAGTCACAGGAGAATGGCACAGACATTTGAACATCCCTTTAAAGATGTTCAGGAATCGAGTTCAGAAACGTGCGTTATTTGAATTTTGTCTCATTTTATGGATTTGGATGTCGAATCTGGTGTTTAAAGTTTATTTTGATTTTTCTTTTTTTCTCTGTGGGCACACACAAGGAATTATCACACCAGCCAGTGTCCTCCTGAAGACAACCCTTAATGCCACATCAACAAGCGCTAAAAACAGATGATTGTGAGGAAGCCTAAAAGTGATCCAAAAATGCTGGAGAGCCGGCAGGGAAAGGCCACTCCAGGGCAACTGACAGTGCTCCCCAGCGTGAGGCACGTTTGGATGCCCAAGGCGTAGACCCACCCTGTAGGGATGCCGAAGTAGTGCTCTAGTGGGAAAACTGTGCCCGTCAGAGAGGCACCTGCCTTTCCTTAGCAGCCACAGCTGACGGCGTGGGCCAAGTCGTACTTGGCTGCTGACGGACAGAGGCTTGCTGTGTGTGTAGAGTGTCGGCTCCACGAGGTTAGGTATTTTTGCCCGTTTTGTACACTGCTGTCCCCGTGTGTTAAAGAGTGCCCGGCACACAGTGGCCATGCACAAGACGCTGTGGACAGGGGAGAGAAACAGTGGCTTCAAACATAGAGCCCCAGTTGTGCTAAGAAAGCTAAATCTGAAATTTGTTACTGTCCTTAAGTTCTGAAATGGAGAACGAGCCTAACGGTATATTACAGGTCAGCGGCAAAGTCACGTTGGTGCTTTTTATCATTCCCCCCCTCCGTCTGCTCCTCAGAACGCTAGAAATATTTTTATTGATAGCATAACGTCCATTTTTCAAGAGTGGCCTATTTCACGTGATGTCTTTTGTGCTACCAAAGCATCTATTACCCATTCCAACTATTAAAACCCCCAGGTCAGGTTCAGGATGGACCCAGGCCTTACGGGGCTTGGAGCTTATGTAATTTTGGGTCTCCTCCTTAAGAAAAGGAATACAGATTCTAAATAGAAAATTAGGTATAATGCTTTGGAACGAACGACCTGTGCAAAAGAGGAGCCTTGAAACTTGGGCTCCGTTATCTTCCTGCTTCCGGTTTTATTGTTCCATTCAGGAAACCAGACACCAGTATTTTTTATAGAAATGTCTGTTAGATCGTGGAAATCCGGGAAGTAAATGACTTGTATCAATGCAGCGAATGCACCTCCACCTTAGCGACCTCAAAACTACCTACCTTGTGAATGTCGCCACCCACAATAGAAATTATAAAAATGTAATGTGTGGTCACAGGAATACTAATAGCAAGAAGAGCCTAGCATTGATCCAGCCCCTAGAACCTCCCAAACTGTGGTGAGCGTTTTCATAGCTTATTTCATTTAATTCTCAGAATAACCCTGTACCCAATATAATTATCCTCGTATCACAGAAGAAAAAAACTGCGGGTCAAAGGTGGTGAAAATGATTTGCTGGTGTGTGGTGGGGTGAGGATTACAATTGGAGCAGTTAGCTATCAGAGCCCTTCTTAAAAAGCCCAAAGAGTATTTTGGTGAGGCTATTTCAGAGGGCTAACAACTGATGAGGCTGCACCCAAACTGCCAGAAATAAGATCTGATTCTTTTGACCTGGGAGGAGGTCCTTAAAGGTTATCAAGAATCCGTTATTCAGATTAATGCGAAATCCGTAATGCTTTTTTTTTTTTTGTCTCAGAGACAATGGTGATGGTTTTCTCATTAGGTTGATCACAATAGGAGGCAGAAAACTCAGCAAAAAATATTTCGATCCTTGCATTTTATTTATTCTTTGAAGTTGATAGTAAATCATGAGCAGTACAACCAACTTCTCTTTTTTAAGGCATCTTTTGAACCAAGTGGTTTTGACTGAATATGTATGCTAGAATAGACTGTGCCAGGAGATTAGTAGTGAAAATGTACTCAATTATCGTAATTTTAGCAAATGCTTGTAACTCCAGTTTTTAAAAATCACTTTTGATAAACTTAACAGCGGTTAATATTCTCTCTACCAATGGGCCATAGAGCTAATGATAAATATTATCCTGAACTTTCACCCTAGTTTCCTAAATACAGTATTTTTATTCAAAAAAGCTATATGTTTTTATTAAATGGTTAGGATTATACTCCATTTGGTATTATTTTAGCAAACAGTGTAAAAATAAAAACTAGGACATTCTTTTTACCGCCATGCTTTCCTCAAACTACCTGCGCAGCCTAAAATTTTTCCTTTGAAAATTGTTCTTCTACTCCTTAGACAATAAGTCCCCTGAAAGTTCCAATTTCAAATACTGGTGAGAATCCGACTTTAGTTTCTTTCTTTAATTGTGTTAGCTTGAAATACAATATTATAAATCTTAAATTGTGTGAGTGTATGTTTTTAGACCCTTAACATTCTTGAACAATGAATGCTTTTACTGAATTTATTTTTTTTTAGACAAAATTATCCATATATTAGAGATCCAGGTCCTATTTTCTTTAAGTCATTCATCTGTAGGTGTGTCTTATAACAGATTTAAACAAGACCAAAAAAAATTTATCCAAGCAAAGATTTCAATTATTTTAATACAGAAGGTGCATCCCATCCCATTTTAGATTGAAAGAAGGAAAACATAGATTAAAAGAAGGAAAGACTGTTCCCAAACCATTGGGATAATTGCTAGACTCTTGGGGTTTTAAATTTCTTTCCATTTCTACTTTGTACGTCTACATTCATCTTTTTCCCTTTAGAAGAAAAGATGTGGAGTGGGCTGCTACCTCCTGGCCTAAATGAAAGTGATATTGAGTTGAATTCTGAAGATGAAGCCCCATTAAAGAACTCTGGACTTAACTTACAGGAAGATAACGAAGATGGGGCCATTACAAAAACAGAGATCTCAGATTTCCCTACAGATGGACCAAAACCCGACGTGGAGGCAAATGTAAACGCCTATGAAGAGTGCCCCTCTGGAGTTCCCTTCAATATGTGGAATGTAGGTTCTCTGTGATGTGTTCTTATTGAAGCCGGTGCCTGTGTGTTTGTGCATGCTCCTGTGTGTGTTTCTGCCGTGGTCAGAACGCCTGTGTTCTGGGGAGATGAGAGGTAGGGAAGATTGACTCAGAGTACTCTGTGGGTCTGCGGTCAACCCGTTGGCCACTCAGGTACTTGCTTTCATTTTTATTTTGTTTTTTATAAAAAGAGGAAGAAAAAAACTGGTAGGATTAGCTACTTTGCCTAACAGAATACATGAGTTTCTATCCTAATTTGATCTCTTTGTCATCTGTATGAGTCATTGCATTTTACTCTCAGATAATCAGATTGACTTAGGTAGAAATAGATGAAGATAAAAACTCAGATTGTGAAGGAGTCTTAGAGAATAGAGTATCTCAAGAAGGACTGAACTCCTTTTGTTAAATTTGTATTTTTATAAATGCTAGAATATGTTTTTAATCCGTAACATGTTTGTAATTTTTTGAATATGTGCCTTGCTTCAAAATGTATTTGTTTCTTGTTTTTCTTTTTTTAACTTTTATATAGAAATTTCAAGAATTGCATAAAAAACATTCTGAACAGAAAAGCTCAGCATCAGGATTCAGAAGAAGGAAAAGAAAACGCTCCAGGAAAGGTGCTTTGTTTTAATTCAAGTTAGTTGTCAGTAGTGTTAATGTTAAGTTGTGACTAATTGAGCTCAACAATTTTTAATAAACATAATTTTGAAATAACAAATGAATACTCAGGTATTGACACTTTGTGAATTCTTTTCAGGTAAATTGAAGAATGAAGAAGAGTCTCAAAGGTGGGTAGAATTTAAAATGTTCGCCTATTCTGGACAGTATTGTAACACTTATAGCAATAGTTGAACTACTTACCTCTGAAACATAGGAACTAGTTTCTGTAGTTCGTAATTGTGGTGGCCAATTAAAAACACTAAAAATGAGTTCTTGTCTCTTCTTTCAGTGCCCAGACCTCAAGTGAAGCCCAGTGGAAGGAGCTTACTCAGTATTTTGGAATCAATGATAGGTTTGACCCCCCTGTTAAAAAGAAAAAAATTGACAAGGTAAGATATTTTTTTATGGCCTCTTACATTAGTCAGTAGGAAATGTTTGAAAATTGTAATGCTTGTAATTTGAAAATGTTTGTAATGAATTCAGTGAAAAAGTTAAAACACTTCCTGTGTGCCAAACAAGATGCTAGGTAAACATGTAAATATGTAGTTATAAATAATTAAAAAAAAAAAGGCTGTTAAGAAGGAAGTAAACAGGATTGTTGTAAAGAAATTTAAAATGGATACCCCACTTTAGGTGGTCAGGGAGGGCCTTTCTTGGAAGATGCCATTCCATTGAGACCTGAAGGATAGGAAGGAACCATCCGTACACAGAATGCTCGTGAAGAGGTAATAACCTGCGTAAAGGTCCTGGGGAAGAAAGAGTCATCATGGGACATTTTAGTAACTGTAAGAAGGTCAGCCTGGCTGGAATGGAGTCAGTGAGGAGGAGAGTGGCCCAGGATAGGATTGGAGAGGCAGGCAGCCAGGAACCAAAGCATGAAGCACCTTAAGGGCCCTGGTAAGGAATTGGGTTTTAGTTACAGTGCAGTTGAGAGTCATTCAAGGGTTTTAAGTTAAGAGAGTGATATGATCGAAGTTGTGTTTAAAAAGATTGCTCTTGTGTGGAGAATAGACTGTGGATCAGCAAAAGTAGGCAAGAAGAGAACAGGTAAGAGTCTCTTCTAGGCACAAGAGGATGGTGACTTGAATAAGAATGGTGCTAGAGAAGATGGAGAAGAGTGGACAGATTTGAGGTCTACTGTAGAAGGAGAGTTGGCAGTATTTGTTACTTGCCTCTGATGCTTGTGAAGTGATAGAGAGGATTTGGGGCATGAGGAGGGAAAGAGAGCCATTCAAGTGTTACCTTCAGCAGTGGTATGAATAGTGATGCTAGTTACGAACGTGGGAAGGCTGGGGAGGGGAGAAGATTTAGGGTGGCCTCTGTCCAAAGTTCAGTTCGGGGCATGGGTGGTATGAGCAGGCAGGAATAGAGAGACGGTTGGTAAAATGAGGCAAGAACTCAGGACAATCTGAGCTGGAGATACACAGTTGAATGTCCTCAGTCTATAGATGATGTGAATCCTTAGTAGAGTCTTGAATGAGTGAGTAACTTACATATTCACATCCTGGACTCCAGGAGCATGGAAACTGAGCACTGAATGGTAGGGCTAGAGGCTCAGGGGCCTGCCTGGTTGAAGCCCAGGTATATTGTATCGTGCCTGTGTAGACAGATTCCTCCTTCGTGAATCATTTCTGTAGATCACTGTGTGTACACAGAGACCATTACCACTTACTGATTAATCAATATTTCTTGTGAAATAGACCTCAGACTGTAAACCCATTGTTGGGGGGTATTGCATCATTGAGGGCACGTGCATTAAGGAACTGACAGCAGAACTTTGCATGTAAACCTTTTGATTCCAGCTTTGCCAAGAATTCTTGTCGTCAAGTTCTAGAGCATTGGGGACTTGAAACTAGGATCACTTTCTCCTACATCATTGCTGCTTCTGAGCAATCTCTTTTTCACAAATGTTCAAGCAGGTGCAGAAGTGCTTAAATGCCTACAAAGAAAGATCACATGAAAACCCAGGCTTTATGACCCCATCCTGAGTCCTCTGGCTTCACCGCAGAAGCGCTGGTCGGCACTTTAAAGTGTCGTTGTCCTGTTCTGGACCCCTGTGATTGTGGTGGGCTGGGAGGACTGGTTTTGTGAGAAGGATGCTTTGAGTAAATACTCAAAAATACTGCATAAGCTTGTTCTACAGCACGAGGGAGGAGGGTCATGCTGTGGTGGTGGGCCGGGCTCTGGCCGACCTGCAGAGTCCCCACCGCTGGTTGTTCTTTCGAGGGAAGGAATGGTTCAGTATTGCTTCTCATAGGAAATTGTTTTGAAGTTTTACTCCTGAATTAGGTGGTCTTTGATCTTCAATTAATTATAGCACTTGTTATGTTTTTTCATAACTGTTGACTTTAGAGTGTCTAAACGAGTTTCATAGTTGAAGTTAGGGCTCTGAAGTTAAATTTTAAATTTAAATTTTTAACTGTTCTGAAGAGTAAAAATTTGAGAGATTTTTTTTTTTTTTAAAGTCTCTCTGTATCAGATTGTTATTATTACCCTATATACGAAATTGTCCCTTCTTGATATGGGCCAGATACGGCTGTCATTCATTGTCAAAAATTTGAGGTTTGTGTAGAGGAGCCTTATGAATACTAGGATTCCTTGTGCAAAATCTTTTAAACAACTCAGTTTTATGAACTAGTCTTCTCTTTCACATTATACATTAGATGTGTTCTAGGAAAAGAAGTTTTAAGTCAAGCATCATTTTAAAAACAGTGATCTATTTTATGAGTTTGGGTTTTGTTAATGGAATACACCCTCTATATGAGTGACATCTGACTAAGAAAGTTATGGCGTTTTTCTAAACAAGGAAACCGGTGCTGGCCAGACTTGCATCTGGCCAGGATTTTGCCAGCACTCAATATTCTATAAATAAATGTAAGCCTAAAAGGAAAAGATTTAGTGAGGCCAGATTTCGTATTCTCTTGGTAGTTTAGCATCATTGCACACCAGCAGGTTTGCACTTCGGTTTGGGATCCTGTTTCACTGTTTTACATGCACCCCTTTTGCTCATGCTAAAGTCTACTGTGAATCCAACAGAAGAAATAGACATTGAAGAATGTCCACGCTGGAGGCGCCAAGATAAAAGCAAAGAAGAAATGTAAGGCTAGAAATCTAGAGAGGCTCATGAAAATCTGTGATGCAGTTTGGAGAAAACTAGCATGAATTTCTAGTCCATTATTTTATATCTCTGGAGCAGAGGCTGATCTTTTGCCATATGTGAGAGAGCCCTTTTATTCTGTATTCAGTCCATCCTCAAGAACGTAAAACAGAACAAACTTCTTAATCTTGTGTCTACTGTGCAATCCTTCTGCGCACCCGCCCCGCCCAACCAACCCCCAGTTTTCTCTCTTTCTCCTCCTCCCTTCCTACCTTCTTTTTTTGAACACTGTCAAGCTAAAGCTGTGGCTCAACCGATTATATGTATTTATGACACTGCCATCACCTGTTTTCTTAACATTGCAGAAAGGGTTGTATTTTTAAAATGTAGTATTCCCAATATCCAAAGCTGTTTTAAAATGTAGTTTGTATTAAATGCAGCTATAATTGTGTTTCTGGAAGTAGTTCTGGGACTTACTAACCATTCTGTAATCAGAACGTAATTATTTTGAATCTATATAGAAATTTCTTTAGAACAAATTTCACTCATTAATTGCATTATAAAAATCTCAAATATTCCTTAGTTGAATCAATTTGATGAGTCACCAGTCATTATTGAAGTAGTTTTATATGTATTTCATGGATACTTTTTGGCATGAAAAATCCGTTAAATTTTAATAATTTTAAGAATAATTGCACAATGTCTGATTTTTTTTTTTAGTTGTTTATGAGAGGAAACAGTTCCTGTATAGTGTATCTTTTTTCAAATTTATTTATTTATTTATTTTTAGCAGAATGCTTTTCCCAATCAGAATCGTACATGGAACTCCAATACACAAATCATATAAAAAGCCAGCTGCCCTGAGGGAGTGGGAGGGAGGGAGGAAGAAGGGTAGTGGTGCGGAGGGGGCAGAAGTGGTAGCAGTGGAGGGGAGAGGTGTAGAGGCGCCACGCGCGACTGTTCCACTGGCATTAATTACAGAGCATTATCTTTTGATCCCCAGGTGATCCCTGTGGGGGTGTGTAGGTGGGGCCAGTATTCTCATAATGTAGATTGACTAAAGCCTAGCATGATTTTCTATAAGAAAACAAACAGCAGGTAAGAAGTGAAATGAGACTTTAACCAAAGTCATTTCGTCTCAAATCTAGATGTTTTCTAAGTAATAGCCCAACTTTGTTTTTATTTATCTGATTTAAATAATTTAAGTAGGTATGATTTATACATAAAGGTAATACTACTAATTCTTAGTTCTGCCTTACCGCCCCCCCCCCCCACTTCTTTTTGGAGAGATCACCTATTTTTTTTCCCTTAGATATTTGGGTCTAATTAGAGTACAGCAAACTGTAGCAGACAATTCATTTATATTCAGCTTTAAAAATTGAATGTATTATCTAAATAAATGAATATTTAACAGTAACATTTCTATAGAAATATATTGTGCAGTTTGACTGAAGGAGCCTTAATCACATGTTAAAGAGATTGTGCATATGCACATATGGAGGATTGGTCCTTAATGTTAAACCTAGTACCCAGAAGTTTCTTTGATGTTTGTCATCCTGCCTTCTTGGCATCTGCAGCAAAACTGTTAGTTAGAGGTTACTTATTGCCTCGTTGGGGACCTGTTAGATACCGGCCTTCGATGATTTTCCATCTGTGGCCAAATTGGCACCCTAACTGGTCTGTACTGAGGTATAGATAGCTTCAGCTAAATTCTGATTCCCGCCGGAAGGCATCTTAGAAGCACACCTAGGCCCTGCTGAGCCATCAGTGCTTCTGTGCCTCCTCGCACTTCTGTGGTGTGAGAGACATCATGGACGATTCCAGGAAAGGTACTCTCGGGTCCAACTTAAGACTGTAGAAGCCTTAATACTCAAATCTTACTTCATGAGACTACCTACTGACTCTACGTTTGAATTCTTGGGTCTTATGCTTGGGGCTGAGCCCTTGATGATTTGTGATGAGGTCTGTAGCCATACAGAGCTAAGCCTTATCTTGGTTTTAATAATGGAACCCTGATTTAGATAAAATAATATGACCAACTTCTTTATCGAATGATGCTACATTCTAAATTTTTGCTAGGTATTTTACATATATTTCCTTTGACCCTTACCATAAACTTGTGGCGACTCCGGTATCACTTTTTTTGTGAGGGTGAGGTGACTGTAACCTGTAGAGGTTTAGGAATCACCCAGAGTTTCTTGGCTGTAAGTAGAGGAGCTCAAATTTGAACTCTGGGTCTGACCTCACCAGCCATGTTCTTTGTAAACCATTATTAACTTACGGTCTTAACAT